AAAGAGAAAGTAACTATGTTGTGGCTGGAGATCAATGAAGCCGAGTGAATGGGGGGCTGAGTGCGCGGGTGCACACTGAGGCGGCGCCAGATGGTGGAGGGCTGCGCTCCTTTATGAAGTAAGTGCAAGTCCCCGCGGCTGTTCCGAGAGCCCGGGAGCGTTAGGGGCGTGTGTGTGCGTGTGAGTGTGTGTGCGTGTGAGTGTGTGCGTGCGTGTGTGTGTGTGTGTGTGTGTGTGTGTGTGGCGATGCTCACGGGGGGCCACGGCAGGTGAGCTGAATCTGAATCGGGTTCTGGCTGTTGGCTCGCGCCCCGCTGTGCGTTTACTCTCCGCAGTCTGTTTGGATTTTGGACGAAGGGGGGAAAAATGAGGTTTGTTGGGACGCTTTGCGGCAGTTTTAAATGCCCGGGGCTCGTCATTGCGCTGTGTGCCGAAGTGGGGTGTTAGGTGCCCCAGGAGCGGGGAGGGAGCATTCTTAAACCACTGGATTGTCTACTACGATTTCAGCCTGTGCCTAGAGGTGGTGGAGGGTCGAGCAGCCAGGGAGAGGGAGGCAGGCAGCTCAGTGTGTCTCGGGGAGGTTTCCCGGGCCGGTCTGGCCGGCTTCGGCTTCGCGGGCCCTGTAGACTCCGACCCTCTGCTGCAGGGATGCAGATCTCGCTAGACACCCCGTGCGGGTGTGAGCCGCGCACCCCGCCTGGAGGTTGGGGGGCCTGGCCTGGGGCCCCGCGGACACGCTCAGGCGTCCCTCTCCGGACAAGCGGGCTGGGGATCCCAGGACGCTGCCTCCCAGGTAACACAATAGCAGAGACTTGCGCGGCTCGGTCCGGCTGGGAATAGTACTTGCTCTTCCAAAAATACTACGCCAGGGAGGGAGGAGAGCGGGGAGGGCAGGGGGTTGGCTTCCTCGCTCCCATCCAGAACTGGGGGAGAGGGGCCTGAGTTGGCGGGGGACCTGGGGATGGGGTGCCTGTGCGCCCGGGTGTGCGTGCCTGTGTGTGTGTGTGTGTGCCCGTGTGTGTGTGTGTGTGTGGAGGTCAGTGCAGAAGACCCCCAGTGCCCCCAGCTCCCAAGCAGTGACTGACTGTGGCAGGGAGTGTATCCTGCTTGTGACTCTTGGGCTCCGTGTCCGAAAATGGTGACTGTCGTGTGTGGACGGGTGACAGATGACATTTCCCCAGACATCTCTGAAAGTTGGTTTGCACGAGTGACTCTTGCACGGGGTTTGGTCTCTTTCCCGTGAGCATGGCTAATGCCAGGGCCGGGTGTCCGGCGCCCCTGTGCCTTCAAGGAGAGGAAGGAGCTGTCCCCTGGCAGGCGCCCTCTCCAGACAGCAGGCCGACCCGGTGGGCAGTACTTCCCCGCCCTCTTCGGCACGGACAGGCGAGCTGGGAAGGCATCTTTCATGGGATTCATCGCCTCCCAGAGGGGGATTTCGGTGTGGGGTTGAAATAGTGTGCACAGCGCCTGCCTCCTGCTGAGAGCAGCTCTAGGATGCCTAGTCCGTGCCTATTGGGAGATGAAGTCAAAGCGGTCCTTTTCCCCTAAAAGCCAGAGGGGGGGTGGGGGGGTGGAGGGTAGCCAGGGCGCAAAGGGGGGTGGATCTGCCGGGGTTGGGTTTCCAGACCTGGCTCCTTGGCTTGAGGCTTCATCTTAGTTTGTAATGAAAAGGGGAAATGCAGGCTAATGAACAGGCTGAGGAAGCACCGGGGCTCAATATGATTGTGTGTGCTTTTCAGAGGGCTCAGCCGAACGGAAGGCAAGAATAGCTCCCAGCTCAAGAGATGCACTTTGGGGGATACTTTCATGCCGATGTGCGGGGAAGTTGATATCCGCCCCGATGTATATTTAGCCGCGGTGTATTTCTGTGAGTCCCTGGCCATTCCCCCGCCTTTGCAGAGGGTAGGGAATTACATGGAAAGTAAGCCGGGGTGGGCAGGCAGGTCTTTCTCAGATAGTGGCGCTCTAGCGCTGCCCAGGAGACGAGGCCCCGAATAGAGACCTCTTCAGCGCCTTCCTTTCTGACTCCAGAGTTTCGTATCTTTGTGCCTTTACCTTCCCTGAGGGTGGACATCGACGTAGGTCCGAGAAAGGCTGTGTACCAGCGTGTGCACAGGCGATACATTTAACCTCAGACTCAGGGACCACATAGCTGGGCGTCCTCAGGTCGGCATCCTCATGACCCTGTCACCACGAGTCTCCGGCTTCAGGATGCAGCGTGATGAAGGGGATTCAGGACCACGTTGGTCGGAGGGATGCAGTGGCCTCTCCTAGGGATTGGACGAGGCGGCCTTGTGTGTCACGTGACTTCATGCTTTCTCCCCCCCCTCCCCTTCTTTACAGACTGTCTTGAGTTCTTCTTGAATTGCCAGTGTTCGGCCTCCTCATGCCTCCGTCTCCTTTAGACGACAGGGTACTAGTGGCACTGTCCAGGCCCGTCCGGCCCCAGGATCTCAACCTCTGTTTAGACGCGAGCTACCTGGGCCCCGCCGCCCCGGGCAGCCACAGCCACCCTCCGGTCATCGCCACCACCGTCGTGTCCCTCAAGGCTGCGAACCTGACGTATATGCCCTCATCCAGCGGCTCTGCCCGCTCCCTGAATTGTGGATGCAGCAGTGCCAGCTGCTGCACTGTGGCCACCTACGACAAGGACACCCAGGCCCTGACCCCAGCCGTTGCCGCTGGCTCCGCCACCACTGCCATCGGCGCCTCCGGCACCTGCCCTGCCACCCAGATGGTCAACAGCAATGACAGCGCCGGCTCTCTGAGTCCGTCCGGTGGGGTGGGCAGCCCGGCGGCTGGGACCCCCAAGCCGCTGGCCAGCATCAAAATCATCTACCCCAACGACCTGGCGAAGAAGATGACCCGATGCGGCAAGAGTCACCTGGCCAGCCAGGGCCCCGTCATCATCGACTGCAGGCCCTTCATGGAGTACAACAAGAGCCACATCCAAGGAGCCGTCCACATTAACTGCGCCGACAAGATCAGCCGGCGGAGGCTCCAGCAGGGCAAGATCACCGTCTTAGACTTGATCTCCTGTCGGGAAGGCAAGGACTCTTTCAAGAGGATCTTTTCCAAAGAAATTATCGTTTATGACGAGAATACCAATGAGCCCAGCCGGGTGACGCCTTCCCAGCCACTCCACATCGTCCTCGAGTCCCTGAGGAGGGAAGGGAAGGAGCCTCTGGTGTTGAAAGGTAACGAATGCTCCCTCCCCCCGGCACACTCCTGACTAGCCTGGGGTCACCCGGGGTTTTCCCCGCAGAGGTAGCGGCATCCTCCCGACCCTGCCTCCCCGCAAAGACCGGAATAGAAGTCCTCTTTCTTGTCCGCCCTCCCCTGCCCTTTCTTAATTAGTTCGGTGTGGTGAGAGGCATCCAGGAGCCTTGAACTGGAAGCCAGAAGATTTGGGCTCTGGTCTGGCGTCTCGTTTCCCCTTCTAATTTGCATCGTGCAAGTCATTTCACCTCTCGGAGACTTTCCCCCTCTTTCCCCAGAGGGGCTTTTATAACGCCAGAGGGTGGCTCAGGTCATGCCTGGTCTGGTAGCTCTCGCCCAACCCATCACTCGTTGGGAAGTTATTATCTCTCAGATGTAACCCAGGTTGGTGGAACTGAGATGGTGAACTGCAAGTAAACTCCCAGGTAGCAGTTCTTTTTTTGTGGGAAATGCTTCTTCTTACCTCTCCCATCAGCTTGGATTTTAGGTGGTTTATACAGTGACATATAGAGGGACAGAGATCCTTCGTATAGGGCCCCGCAGTGTAAGTTCATCAGAAACATCTGTTCCTCTGCCGTAGCTCTAGATCATCATCTGTCTTCTCTTATGTCTGAGCCAGTGTACACAGTCTGGGCCACATCACCTGCCAGTCTCCGGAACTGTGTGGACCAAAGGGTCCCCGTGAGCATCTTACATATTTAAATTGCAACAGGCCATGGAGGTGAGCAAGTTAGTCGTTTTGTGTCTGTGAGGGCAGCTCTGCCATCCTCCGTCTGGTCTGCCCAGTGATGCACTCTGCCTTTGGCTCAGTACCATTCTTGGAAATATGGATTGGAATTCCTTTGCTATAACCCGCCTGCCCACCCTCCAGTGCCCCCTCCCTGGACTCAACCACCACAAAGTCACTACTACTCTTAGGGCTGGTGGGCCCTGATGGGAAGCATGATATCATGGAGGTTGTATCTGGAGAGTTCCGGCAGCAACCACTCATTTTTTGTTGTTGTCACTCTTGGGTTTTCTTGGGTTTACAGGGATGTTCAGATTCCCTCTGTGTAGCGCTGTATGGCATGGCTTTATATTCTTGTTTGGTTGGCGTTGAGTGATTCCCAGTAAGTTGACCAGCTAGTGTTTTCTTACCATGATCTTGGCTTGTCTTGTCTTTTTTGGATGAGAAAATACAACCTACCCATGTCCCATTGGTGATAGTTGGTCTTGGGGAGCAGACAGAGTGGGTAGTCCATGGTCGTAATGGCCGTCTATCTGCTCCTGCAGAGTGGATGTTGTTGAGAAAAAGCAGGCCTTGTGTGTCTGCAGACTCGGAGGATAGGCATCAAACCATACACCCTAAGTTGACCCCGGACTTGAACTTGAGGTTGATTAGAGGAGTTGTCGATCCTCCCTTCTTCTTTGGCCGTGGGAATTATTGTGTAGGGGGGTGGCTTGTCAGTCACTGAGAAACGAGTCTCCTGGGTGCTACCGATGAAAGGGGGGTTCCTCCCCCCTCCCCCCGTCCTGTGGATGCAGCTGAGACTCCAGCAGCCTGGGTTGCGCCTCAGTGTCAGGGAGTGAGCTTGCCTCAATGGGCGGGGCCGGACATGCTGCTGACCTCACCACTGGGCGCCCTGGGCGGCCGCCCTGCGGGCTCGTCATTTTCGGGTTGGTGAGCCTCAGCAGCGGTGGACCTGGAAGGCGTGCTGGTGGTAGAGGTTGGATGACTTGTAGCTTTTGGGGGGCTTTCCTCTTCGAATATTTGGGCATTTGCTTGAAAATCTGTAGTTCAGGAGCAAAAAGGGTCTATCATCTACTATATTTATTATTATCATCATTATCATTTCGGTCTCTTTGGGGGGAACGGCCTAACATTTGGACCAAGATGGGAAAGAAGGGGGGGAGAGCGATACCAGGATGCCCTCGCTGCCCTTTGATCTGGGCCAACCAGAGGTTAATGCCAGAGCACCGTGGAGTGAGGAATGGGGTGGGCATCTCAGAAGGCATGGCCAGCACCTTCTCCCAGGCTCTTGTGTGGCTCGAGCAGACCATCCTGGCCTGGCCGCTCTGCTGAGGCTTATGGTACTAACCCCAGCCCTTGGCGATGCAAGATTTTATTTTAGCAAGAGTGGTCGTGGGACCATTTGGGAACGAGTGAGTTTTGTAGGGAAGCCATGGTGATGGGTAGTGAGAATCTTCTAGGGTAGATATTTCTAAGGCCTCCTTCGTGTATTTTCAGAGATTTCAGTACAATCGCGGGTAATTTATGGCCGGCCCACCTGCTGCCCTGGTGTTGTGTTTGTAAACACTGGTTGCTACCCTCCCGGTCCAAGTTTCATGTCCCCCGCTCCAGTGCCACGGTCTCCATTTTTGGAGGTGCCTGACAAGTGGAGCGGCTGCTCGGGGACCGTTTTAGTAATGCTGTGTCAGGTCGGGAAGAGAGTGATCAGAGGTGCAGATTAAGTTACTGTTCTAATTTACGATCCCCTCCCCGCCGTGACCTGTGTCTGAATCCATGGTTTAGTCTCAGCTTCTGAAGAAAGCAGGGCTTCTACCCGGCCCAGAGAAAGGAAGAGACATTTAGGGATTTGCACAATCTTTTTGAATGAATTATAATGTGTGTTACCCACACGTGATGTTGAATGTGATTTCTAACCACACCGAATCAGAAGGCTAGATCATGCCTCCCAGGATGAGAGCTACCATCATTGCTATGGTGTTTGTCAGGCTCCTGATGTTGGGTTGAGGGAAATAATTTGTCATTTACCTAAAGAGGCATCACCACCTCCTTCTTAAAAACAGTCTATGCCTTTAAAATTCTTACTACAAAAAATTTCAAATACAGAGTAAAGTAGCAAAGAGTGGAGTGAGCACCCATATACCTGTCACCAGATTTTAAACAATTAGTACTATTTTCCTTCTCTTTTTTTTTGTTGAAAACATGTATAGAACAGACAGTATTTTAATGTATTTAAACATGTTTTATGTTTAAACCTAATGTTTTAGAATCAGTAAGGCTGGGATATTTGATAGTAGAGTATGGACAACATTGTTACTCAATACTGCAGTGTCACGTGACCATTTGGGGGAAGTTTTCCAAACTTGTAACTTCTGCTGTGACTCCCAGGCCGTCAGGGCCATGGAGAAGCAGCCCTCCCTCTGAGTGGAGGGCTCCGGGCGGTAACTGGGGGTCCCCAGCTCCCCGTTCTGTTCAGCTATGTCGGGTCCATGCCTGTACTTGCTCTGTACTCTCACAAAACAAAGACTGACTCAGAGGCATTTATTGGGGAGCAGGGGGAGGAGAGAGAGTTACTTCAGGAGATCGTTACCTAGAGGGGATTTGGGTAACATAGGGGGGTAGACTCTCACACTGTGAAACTTCCCTCCCTAACCCCTAAGAAGTGAGCAGCATCGACTACACGTTCGTCCATAGTCAACAAGGATTGTGAAGTAAACCAGTGGGCGGTGAGCGTGTTTGCAAGATCCAGAGTGGCTGTGCTCAGAGATCAGAAACCCAGGAACATATTCTTTCTCTCCCAGCTTTGTTTAGTGGAGCGGGGGTACACGATTTCCCTTTGTCTCTCAGGGACGTTATGAGGACGTTTCCAGAATCACAAACGCGCTGTTGTCATTCGGAACCTCTGTTTAACACCCGAACATGGCTAACATGAACCCTGGAGCAAAGAGTGGGGGAATTCAGGCCGGACTTGGGATCTGGTCTGAGTTCTAGTCTTGATCTCCTCCCTCCTCGCCCAGCACCCCCTCCCCCATAGTGGTAGTTAGGAATACAGGGAACTAAAGTGTGCAAAGTGTCTAAGTAGTTCCTCATGGTTAACGACTCGCAGATGCAGCTTAATATCATTACTGTTGGTTGAACAGGAATGATGGTGCCAGTAAAACAGGCAGTTTGGGCTCCTTTTCCAAAGGAGTACAGCCAACAAGCTGGGTACAGCAGTGTGTGTGTGTGTGTGTGTGTGTGTGTGTGTGTGTGTGTGTGTTGCTGTGGGTTAAAAATAACTGGGTGACTGGTCCCTAATTTAAGTAGCATACAGTTGGAGTGCCAAGTAATTACAAAAACATGCCGGGTCAAGAGGCCAGAGTAATTTGGGCCTCCCCTCGAATTATTTACTTGCAGGGGGATTGGTAAAAATGTGATGAGACATTTGGCCACGTAACGCCCCATAACTCAGTAGTGAAAGCAGAAAAGCTGTGACGCGTTGCTTTTCCTGGCCCCTCCGTGGCCCGGGTTATTTTTGGAGTCAGGATTGTAGTCTGACTATAAAAGGGGAGGTGGGAGGAGGGGCAGCGCATGCCACGTGGAGAAGTTCTGGAAGCTTTGAGATGGGAGGAGATCGTGTGGGAAGTCATTGAAAGGCCTGCTCGGTTCTGCAGGCGCGTCCTGGACCTTTTCCCTGAACTGACCCGCAGCTGCCTGTGTCCTCTCGGAGCTCTTGGACATACCACCCTCCTTCTTAATGAAAATGTCAGTGAAAAGAGATGTGCGCTCTCCCCGTCTCCCTCTCTCTCCCCCCGTCTCTCCCTTCTCTGCCCTCACTCAGTCTGCTCTGCTCCTCATACGCTGCTGCACAGCGGAGTGGAGTTTAGCTCACTTACACCTGGCTCCACTTCTAGGCTTTTCCACCCCAAACTAGAGGTGTCCTCAGGCATCTCAGGTTACCCCTCAGATCCCCAGTTCTTTTTTCCATTGTAAAATCGGGGTAATTCCGACATCCTAGGACAAACTGAGATGCCGTAGATGAAGTGCCTGGCACGCAGCTCTCCATAGCTCGGCCCCTGGGCTCTGCTCCCACCACCCCCTTCCCTTTCACAACCTCTTACATGACATCAGGCGTGTGGCTTTGGGGAGGGTGTGGCCGTTGTTCCCAGTACAGCACTCTGGGAGCCTGTTCAGTATGAACCACCCTCGTGACCTTACCAGTTCCGATCAGTTAACAATCTGGCTTGTCAAGGACAAGTTCAGGAGAGTTCT